GCCCTCAAAGCTGACTCATCTAAAGGAGGTGGGTACAGAGGCCAGGGCTCCACCCCACGCCCACGCCCATCTCAGTTCATAAACACAGCACAGCAGCCAGCAAAGCCCTCCAGATCCTGAATCTTGCCTTCCTTCAGTCCTGAGGAAGGGAACCTGTGGCCTTGACTTGGGAGAGTCCCCAGAGGGGACTGTCACTGTCCCAGACATTAGGAGCTCATTAGCTCATTTAAGAAAAGCCTGTTTAAGAGAAATGAGATCTTTGGTGATTTTCACTTCACAGGCAAATAATCAGTCTAGGGGACAGATGTGGACTCAAGTCCCCACCATGCTGCTGCGGGGTCTTCTGGGAAGTCCCTGCCATCTCTGAGCCCTGTTTGTTCAATGCATCTGTGAAGTGGGAGTTACTAAGTAAGTCTCAGAGGCAGGGAGGGACTCCATGCTTTCAGCCCCAGGCACAGCACTGAACATCCATTACAGCAGCCAAGCTGCATCCACATTTGTTAAAGCATGTGTATACTGACAGTTTATCGGGAGCTTGTGGCTTCCAGAACTATCCTGGTTCCAACTTTCCACATAAACCATTGAGTGCCTCAAAAATTCCACTCTCTCAATATCCAAACACCTCCTGCGCCTCCTCTTACAGAGCGCCTGCTCCAACAGTCTTTTTCATGGGACAGAGCCCAGTCTTTGGTTCAGAAAATGTTGTCAGCAGAGCCCTGCTGGCCCCAGTGTCAGGGATAACAACCCAGGGCCACCAGGACTCTCCGCGATCTCTGATTTGGTAGCTGCCCAGCAGACCCTTCCTGGGGAGGCAGCATTGCTAGAGAGTGGCTGTGAGGCCTAAGCACTCAAGCAGCATCTGGTGGCCAGGAAGGACCATATTAATTTGGATAAGAGACACCTCTGGTACAAGGTAGAGGGAAGTAGGAAAACAATCAGCACTTAGCCTTGTACATGGCGAGTAAGGCCTGCCTTACTCAGCAACTAGGGAGCACCCCAATTACTCTGAAAACAGTAACACAGACCCATCTCTGTGTATTTCCTGGCAACCATCCAAGGTGCTTAATAATGACCTCCAACTTGATGGGCTCTCCAGTCACATAGGGGGAGGGGAGCTGACTGCCAGGCATTTTCTAGAGCGTTTTGATTAAAAGTGGGAAGACCACTCACAATATGGCTGGCACCATCTCATGACCTGGAACCCCAGACTACATAAAAAGGAGAAAGCGAGCAAAGCATCAGGGGTCAGCCATCTCTGTTTTCTGACTGTGGAGCCAACGTGACCAGATGACTGAAGCTCTTACAGTGGTGACTTTCCTGCCATAATGAATTATGCGATGGGAGCCAGAATAAACCTGCCTTAAGCTGCTCCTGTCAGGGAACTGGTCACAGCAATGAGAAAAGTAACATGGTATGGATGATGCGTGGCTGCACCCCTACTGTCACTTGGCATCTAACTTGATCCTGCTTGAAAACAGTTATGAGATAGGTGAATAGACAGAGACACTCATGTACATTTGTCTTCGAAAGCCCACTGTACACACCTTCACAGCCCAATTCAGCTTCCAGTTGCTCAGCCTGACAGGAAGTCTAGACTTAACAACAACAAAAGTCTGCATTTGCTATTGGACCTGCACTTAAGAGGGAGGGCCTTGGGATAACTAGATAACTTGGAGGTAGAGGTGGCTTCAGGTGCTGACACTAGCAGAAATTCTGGAGATGCAAGACTTCTGGGTCCTAGGAGTCAAGGCCAGAGCTTCACCAAGTCTCAGAGCTGGTCACTGAGCCCAGACAACAGCAATAGCATCCAATCCAGTCCTTTCTCTGCAGTATGGGGGAAGGTAGCAGGGGACTGCTCCTCCCCCGCCCCCCTACACCAGCCCAGCCAGGCTAAGCTATGTAGAATACCATTGGGATTCCAGCCTTGCCAGAGCCTGTGGAGAGAAACGGGGCCAGGCTTTGCTTTCCAGGAACTGACTGACTGGAGCAGGAAGGTAAGCCCTGTGATTATGGTCAAGAGAGGGGACCACAAATCACCAATCCCTTCCCAACAGGCCAATCCCTGGAAAGGGAAGAGGGTGTTCCATGTCTTCTGGTCACTCCAGCAGGTTACACCCATTGCAGAAAACAAGTGCCCCTTGCGTTCACGGACCTGTGTGTAGCTTGGAAGGACACAGTCAGTCCTCTCGCTCTGGTCTCAGTCTTTGCTAGCCCACATGTGTGCCTGTTGGGGGTGGGGAGTGGGGCACACTATAATTAAAGTTTCAGCCAGCAACAACTGAGAGCAATTACCATCCTAGGACTGAGTCCAAATACCAACCTAGAACTCCAACTTCTTCCTGGGATGAGATTTGCCTATGACCTTGTCTCTTTGGGAGGGAGTCGAGACCTCAGCTAGCATATCCAAAGCTATCATACCTTTTTGCTATGAGATCAGTCAGGTAAAATGAGGGCTTCAAGCTGTGATCTTGGATTTAGCTCCTAGGTAAGCTAGGAGCCCCAAGCCATACTAAGATCTGGCCTGAGCTGCAGGGAAGTGCATCAGATTCCTGGTTGGGGGTATGGGGTCCTTGACCTATTCACCATGCTTCCCTACCTGCAGCCCTATAGCTGCCAAACAGGAACATCTGCTCAAAGGCTGCCTCAGCTCTTCCAAGTGCCCTCAGCAACCTGACCTCCCAGTCTGCCTTTCATGTCTAATTTGCATACACTAGTCTTTTGAGAAGACAAATCACCAGAGGCAACCCAGATCAATATAGAGTATTAGGCACGATTTTTATTCCATTCTATTGGTATTCCATTAACTGTATGTGGGGATTTATGGGAGTGCTCATATTCTAGAATATTTAACTAGAATAGCCTACTCCCTGTCAGATAATAGCTTACTGTTGTTAATTTTCAACTAGTCAATCTCAGGAAGGCTTCCGGTTTCCAATACAGTCTAGATCTTGATTTAATCATCAGGAAAGACAACTATGTGAGGTCTAACCACACTTGGCTGTTTTATCCAGAAGAAAAAGCACTGTCCCTGGAACCAGAAGCCTTTGGGTTCCTCCATCTCAGTCAAGATCAAGACAATTACAGGTGCCCTCTCAGAGCCTCAATTTCCTCCACTATAAAACGGGAGTGGCACTACCCTCCGAGGGAGAACTGTAAAAGCGAAATGAGATGTCCATACACACCGCACAACTCTACGTACGAGGTAATTAACTGCAAATGTTCGATATTATCAGAAAAAAAAAAAAAAAAACCCAGATGAAATTCTCAGCTCAGGTTAGACAAAAAGTAGAGGGTATCACAACTGATTCTGCCAAAAGGGGGGACACTTCAACCCAGACAATATAAGGTGGCATTCCTGGTTGGCACAGGGAGAGGGCTACGGCTAGAACCGACTGAGCAAAGACCAGGGAGGCTGCTTTTGCAACCTATAATGCACAAGGGGCACCACAAAGAAGGCACAAAGCCACTGTGAGAAGCCGACAGACCCTGATCCAAGTACTTAAGGTTAGGCCTGGGAGCTCTGCAGCATAGGCATCTTCCCAGACAGGCTTTCCAACTCATCGGCTTCCACATTTGCAAGGCGGGTCATCTTGCAGAAATAGTTCTTTCTGCAAGTGGGGCCCGAGTGTCAACTTCTGGAGTTTCTGAACTCCAGATTGTCTTTAAACAAGAGGCTCTCTGCTCCCCACCGCTCCGTTGAGTTGCTTTTCCAAAGCCTCAGCAGACGTTCTCCGGGCACAAACAGGCTCCAAAAATGCTTGCCTAATTCTAATTTCCTGACGAAATGGGAGCCACGAGGGTCTCTAACTGAATTAAAATCACATCACGCCAACTGCTCGCTTGCTTTGTGCCGGGCACAGAGCCAAACACCTCCACATCATTTATCCTACTTAATCCACCACCAACCAGGCGAGGTGGGCATTATTACTGCCTGCATGCAAGGGAGGAAATGGAGGATCAGGGCGGTTAAACGACTCGTCCAAGGTCACCAGCTGGCCAAGGTAAAGAGCCCAACATGAACCTAGGTCTCGCGTTTCCTAACCACAAGCTCCCTGCACCTTCATGGAACACCCAGGTGCCAAGTTGTCTTGTCTTAACTTCTCATTAATTTTTTAAAGGCAACCCTCAAGTTCGCAATAAGTTTGGTTGGCAGCAGCGGGGGCGAGGGTTTCCGGTTCTCTCTCCGCACAACGCAGCAATGTCACCGCAAGTTAACAGAGAAGCCACCCGGTCGCCGGCGGAGAGGGGCTGAATTGATTTGGCTCTGGAGTTCGTGCCAAGCCCAGGAAATGCCAGTTTTGCAATTGGGAGGCCAATCTGCACCCCCCTTTGGGGGGCGAGCCTCTGGGGCCGCGGAGGGCTGGATCCCTGCGGCCGTGTGCCCCCTCGGCTGGGTTGAGTTTACAGCGGCGCGGGGCCCAGGGCTCAGACTGGAGCGCACGCCCACGCCCGCGCCGCCGTGTCCTGAACGCCCAGCCCTGCGCCGCCTCCGCTCGCGCCCCGCCCCAGCCCCACCAGGTGATCCCGGCCTGCGCCCCCTTCCCCAGATGCCCGACGTGGCGCGGGGGACCCGGGGCTGCCAGCCTTCCCGCTAGTCCTCCCGCGCGTCCGCCGCGCCCCGGGCCGGGTGGGGGTGGGGTGGCGCCCCGCGTGTCCCCGATCGCCGCAGCCCCCGCCCCGGCCCGCCCCGCGGAGGTCCCAGCCGCCCATACCTGCAGCATCCGGGGGCGCGGGGCGCCCAGGTAGGTCGCGCGGACGGGCGGCTCGGAAGCTCGCTCGCGCCGCGACCTGGCCGCCGTCTGAGCATGCCCAGTGCAGCCCGCGGGCGGCTCCCGCCGGCCCGGCTGTGGCCGCGACGGGCCAGCGCGCGGGGCGGGGGGACCCGGGACAGGGGCGGGCCCGGGGCCGGCTTAGGGAACACTGCCACGCGCCTTTGCGGGCCACCTGCTGTACTCCCGCAGACCTACGAGACCCCGGCTCATGCACGCTGCCATTCATACCTTAAGCATTCATTGAACACCTACTGTGTGCCTGGCTTTCCGGGATTGCATGCCTAGGAATGGCAAGGACTTGGCGCTCAATGAATCTTTGAAATGACTGCGAGCTTGCATCGGGCTCCGTGGCTGAGTTGGGGGTCGCGCTGACTCCAGCGCAGTGCTCCTTTGCTAGTCCTAGGACGCCAAGCTGGTTAGTCCGTCCCAAGGCCTGCAGGGCCCCTAGCTGGCGGGCGTTCCTGCCTGCCTCTTCCGCCTCCTCCCACACCTGCCTTCCTGCGCTGAGTGCACCTTCCTCTTCATCACACCCTCTGAACTTGACTCGCCTCGGGACGTTTGCACTACCTTTCCCTCGGGGTAGGACGCCTTTTCCCCAACTTAGCTGTGCCCGGCGCTCTCTCACCGTACAGGTATCTTCCGTAGGAGAGGCCTTTCTGGCTACCGTTCTAAATTAGCCCTGACCTCTTGGCGACTCTCCACGTCCGTTATCGCCTTCCAAGCATGTATCACGTATCCATTCAGCAATTACTTACGTTCTTCACACTTAGTATATAGACAAAATTTCTGCCCCTTGCTGGGAGTTTGGAAGGGAGTCTCTCGCACCAAACAACAGGTCCGCAAACAACGCCGTGTATGCGGTGATAAATTCTTAAGAACAGGGAAAAAGAGCTGGGCAAGAAGGCTAGGGGGTGGCCGGTGAGAGCTGGTGGAACAGCCGGATCAGGTGACAAATACCATTCAGTCATACAGCTAAACGAGGAAGCTTTCCTGGGACGGAAAAGCCAGTGCCAAAACAAGGAGTGCAGGTTTTGTGCCTACGGCACAGGAAAAAAGGGCAGAGGGGCAAATGGGGTCGGTTGTCTGGCTGTCTCTCTTGACTCAGATCCCCCGTAAGGAGTGCCTTGCTTCAGTGTCAGTTCGGTAGCTCCTCCTCTCAAGAGACCTAGCCTCTAAACAACTACTGGCACAAACTAAAAACGTTCTTGTTGAATGAAGATGTTAACAGAAGGATGTAGAGGTGGCTAGAACCCTATAGTCGGACCTGAGTGCCAGCTGTCCTGAGAACCTTTTGTCCCCGAGGTACCATGAGGCCCTCGACCGTGCCTGGTTTCCTGGTTTAGATCTCGGTCCCGGTCCTGAAGTAGTGCATCGCTGTGGGCGCCGCCAGAGCGTCGCGACCGGCGAATTCCGACTGAGCCCGGAGTCCCGGGGGCTGCACTGCCCTGGCCCCGCCTAGGATCGTACGCAAAACCTGGAGCCACCGCGCCGTGGCAGCACCATTCCGACAGGCAGGGAGAGCTCTGGGCATGCTCGGATCCTGGGGAAGCCCAGCGTCGGGAAGGAAAAGACCCCTGGAGGGGTTGGTTAGGCTACCCACCGAGTCCCACCTAGCCATCTAAGACTCAGCCTTCTGCTGAGTGTTGGGTAACTCTCCTCCCCCAAGCAATGGTGGGAAGACCATTCAGTCAGCTGACGGCACACTCTGTCCTCTACCAGCTGCTGTGTGATCTGCTACCAGAGCCTTGCGCTCTCTGTGCCCTAAATAATACAAATGCCTACGCTTGGATCCGGAGGCGTGTGGGGATTGGGGGGAGGGGGGGGGGGAAGAACGTGAATGTATTCAGTCCACTTTAAATATTTTTCTCCTTGATGAGGCATGAATCCAGGGATTTGCACACCATAAGCATAAATCTCAACCATCGAATTTGCCCTGTCTCAATTTTGTCATCCTCTCATACGTAACACGGACTGCTAAGTAGAGGCATGGGGAATTCTTAGAGCTGTCCAGCTTAAAGTTGTTGGAGTAAAAGCGTTACCTTTCTTCTGCTCACCATTGCTTAAGCAATGGTCTCGGATTTGAGCTAGAAAATAGCAGTGAACCTTAAAGCCCTAAAGATGATTATTAATTTTTGTTTTGTTTTTCGAGATAAGGTTTCTTTCTCTGTGTAGCCTTGCTGTCCTGGAACTCAATCTGTAGACCAGGCTGGTCTCAACCTTCCACCTGCCTCTATCTCCCAGGTACTGGAATTAAAGGCATGTGCTACCCCAACAGGCAAGACTTTTTTTTTTTTAATTCATATTTCAAGTCATCATAACTAAACCAAGAACACAATAAAAGAAATAAAAGAATCTCCCTCCCCAACTGGAAACAAAGAAGATGCTCAAAGGGAGGGTAATGATTGATTGTATTCAGATACATTCATTGAAATAATTATTACAACTAGGTCTCTCTGGGTCCTTGATATGGTTCAGTGGGTAAGGGCACTTGCAGACAAGGCCCTCGTGGTGGAAGGCTATTCCTGCAAGCAAGTCATCCTCTGCCCTCCAGGTGTGTGCACATACATACATACACACAATAAATAAAATTATCATAAGCATGCTACAACAGGAAAACAAGGAATGAAAATATTGAAAGCAATACATTGTGAAAAGGTGGCATGGCCACACTCACTGAGAATGCAAATAATAGAATTTTGAAGCCAGGAGTGGTGGTGCAGGCCTTTAATATCAGCACTCAGGAGGTAGAGGCCATCAGATCTCTGTGAGTTTGAGGCCAGCCTGGTCTACAAAGCAAGTTCTAGGATAGCCAGGGCTTCTATGTTTTGTTTTGTTTTTAAAGTTAATTAATGTCTTGGTGCTGTGTTTGTGATAATAAACCCATAAAGACCTGGACATGGTGATACATTTCTTTAATCCCAGCACTGGAAGCAGAGGCAGTCAGGTCTCTGTGAGTTCTAGGCCAGTTTGGTCTACATAGCAAGTTCCAGTATAGCCAGGGCTCATTAGAGACACCCTGTCTCAAAAATCCTCTCCCAAGTAAATAACACACAAAAGATCCAATTAATTTTTTCTTGTGTTCATCTAAACTGCTGTGATTAGGTTTAAATGTGGCGTATGCTTTCCATCAATTCTTTCTTCAATCCTTACAGTAGGTGGTTTTGTTTGTTTTTATCTCAGTTTCACTGAAAACAATTACAGAGGTGGGTTCACAGCTGGGGACAGGGGTGGGTTCACAGTTGGTGACACACTGGGGAGGATTTGAAGGCAAGCCCATTGACCTCATAGCTAGTGAGGGTGTCGGGTTTTATGGTCTGTTACTCTGTGTAAAGGAGCTAGCCGTTGATTGATGAGTAAAGGAGACTGTCATTTTATTCTGCCTTTTGTGTGCCTTTCCCCATCTAGTCTGATGCATTTTTTAGTCTGCAGATTACTTTTAACGTCCTGGTCTCCTGTTACTGTTTTGTTCTTGGAGCCAAAATATTCAAACCCAGACATTTAATCTGGTGCAGCTGGATTGGCATGATGTTATTAGCCTTAATGACAGGTGATCTTATAGTCTTCATGCCCCTTCTTATGTGAATGGGGCTTTTGAATGGACGTGTAATCTTCACAGCTAGCTCTAAAGCAAATGACTCTCAGTAGTGAATGGGGCTGTTCTAAGCCCCAGAGAATGAGGCCAGGCCCAAAGGAATTCATATAGATAGATGATGTCCCTGGACATTCATTTGGGGGTGGGGACAGGGTCATGACTCTGGAGACACATTGTCCCCAGACCCCTTTAAGACTCAAGACTGTGGTGGGATGTAGAGTTAACGGTCCTGCTGCTGTTTGCTGGAGAAAAGCACCCCGCCCCAACAGCCCTTTTAAAATTAAGCGCCAATTTTCTCTTTGTCTTAGTGGTGTTGGCCCAGAAATCCAAACCCTCTCCGCAAACAACGAACCAGGGAAGTGATTTCATGACAGAGGAGATACACAGCAGGCTAAATATTCACCATTTGTTAGAGACTGGATTGATGGAAGAGAACAGTGTGAACAGCAAGCAAAGTTAGCAGCAGCCCCAGGAAGGCACCATTTGTGTGAACTGTCCAGTGACCAACACAGTATAGCAGCAATTGGTTGGGAGCATTAGTGGGAAGAGTTTCCTGGAAAAAACACCACAGCCCATCAGTCACTCAAATCAAGACTCAGGAAATCTGGACAGTGATTGAGTGGCAGGGCTCCCCACTGACTTGCTAATGCTTATGAATTATTTGTGCTGTTAATGCAAGCTCACGAGGGGTTCCAGAACAGAGAAGGATGGGTAAGTGGTACTGATGAAGCTGGGGGGGGGGGACGCCAGGGGGAAGGAGGAATAAGCCGTCAAGCCTTGTGCATAGGATGGCCTCCACTGAGACCAAAATCACCGGGTTGAACCATAGAAGGTTGCCATTATGTGGGTCAGAATGAACATGGGCAGCTTCCTGTGTTTCGATGCAGTGAGTGCACAAAGGAAAACTAATGAGCTGCATAAGCCTATGGAGGGTGGCTGGCTCTCACTGTTGCCTTTAGGGGTGGAGAAGCAGCCACAGAAGGTATCTTACATGTGTGAAAATGTCCTTAGAGTTTGCAGGCTCTCATTTTACAACAAGCCTGGTTTCTTTTATTGTCAGGGGAAGAAAAATAAAGCAAATGTTGAAGCTGGCTCAAGGGAAAGAATGTGGAAAGAGAGGAAAAGGGGTTACTTGGAGATTACAAAAAGTAAGAAGAAACTTTTCATCCAAAAAAAGCCTCTCCCCTGTGGTGGCAGCGGGGGGCACGGTCCCTGGTCCAAGAGTAAGAGAGAGGAGGAAGTGGTCAGTTATAAATTAAGAAGTCCAGGACCCCTCAAGGCTAGAACATTCATTCAACTATTTATTAGGCGCCTATTGTGTGTTCAGCATTGCTCTACATGCTTAGGAAACACCAGTGACAGAGGTCAAAACAAACACCCTTTCCCACCTTGTGGATAACAAACCTGAATGCCTGAGTTCAGAGGGATAGTAAGCAAGTCTTAGGGATATGACTCGGCTGATAGAGGGCTTGTTTAGCATGCATGAGGCACTGTTCCCAACACTGTTAAAAGTAGGCATGGTGACACCTGACACAGGCCTGTGATCCCAGCATCTGACCATAGAGGTAGGAGGTTCAAAAGTCAAGGTTGCCTGGCATAGGAGTAGATCCCTTTAATCCCCACACTCAGAAGGCAGAAATAGGTGAATCTATGTGAGCTCAAAGTCATCCCGGTCTACATAGTGAGTTCCAGGCTAACCAGGAAGACACAGTGGGACTCTGTCTCAAAAGACAAAACAAAACAAAAAAAAACCCCACAAAACAAACAAAAGACCCACACTAAGGTCTCCTCAGCTGCATAGCAAGTTTAAGGCCCTCACGGGCTACGG